TGACCGCTGTGCCGGAAAGGGGCGTTTGGCTGCGGGCCCTTCAGACAGTGAAGCTAGGCTACGGGCGCGGGGGCAGCGAACTGCTAAATAACCTTGCCGGTTGCAGTGACGGCAGGGAGGCAGGATGGAGTTTGTAAACCACTCCGACCAGAGTTCCGGATCTGACGTGGCAAGGCTAGATTTGCTGCGTGCAGCTCTTGCACGGAACGACATGTCGAAGCCGGACCACGCACCGAATGTATAGCGTGCGGCCGCTTTCACGATTGTGCTTTGATACTTGAATAATTCCGGACCTCTGCCGGGGTCGTGGTGGAGGGCTACTTGGGCGAAGGCTGAGAACGCCTCCGACCACAATGTCAAGTCTACAACTTTCTTTAGACGGGATGACGACGACATGGCAGATGGCACAAGGGTGATGTGGTCCCCCGTCCCCTGCAGGCTGAACCCACTGTCCAGACCCATGCTCGTATCAAAAGCCAGCTCCCCCAGTACCCTACCAAAATCAACGTACTCACGTTTGATAATCTTGTCCGTGAGATGGTCGCTGAGGGCAGGCAATGGGATGGATGGTGGACGCTCTGGGGCGAGCAAATCGCCGTCCAGGAAGAGACTCTCCTGGTCTGGTCTTAGTGCTGAAGCCAGTGAAGGCTGGACATATTCATGCTCAGGCACCACAACATCACCGTCAGAGACTGGACCAGCCCGCTGTGCTGCTGTTGCTGCTGCTACTGTTGGCTGTGCATGTGGAGGTACCACCGGTAGACCCATCGATGTTGTCAATGACGTCATGCAGGACGCCACTGCATCTTGCACGGCTCGGGAGATCTCGGCAGATTGCTGCGACGTGAACGCAGGCGACGAGTCAGGCTGGGTCGCGGCCGCGGGGCTTTGAGTGGCCGGGGCTGACGCAGGACTAGCCCGCCGGAAGCGTGGTCTTTTTTGCGACCTGGCTCGTAGAATAGGGCTTGAAAGGGCTACGTCACAGCATAGCAACAATTTCAAAAATTCAAAAATTGGATCCACTTGGATCCAGTTTTTGTATTGATCCAAGCACATCTCAAGCCGTCTTACTCTCAGCAAGGTGATGTAACCAGTGAAACTGACTGATTTGGCTACTGGGGGCGGGGTTACAACTGGTGGCGAAGTAAAAGTCACCCCTGCATACGACATGAGTAGGTTGCTATGCACCCACATACTGAGTCAATAGCAAAGTCACACCTTAGTGGATCCAAAATAGAAATCTGATGTCAACTTAGTACTCCCTGGCCGTTTTGACGTCATCACTTTCAAGCCCTATTAGCTTTGTTTCTTGCCTGGGCCGACAAATGCTCATGCAGACGGCTCACCTGGGCTCTAAAATTGCCTGAGCAAGAAAGCCCCAGTTCTCGCAGTCGAGTTTCAACTCCGTCGACTTTGAGTTGGCGGAGATCGGAAAGTGATGGCACGGAGCTCATGGTGACGGCTCAGGATCTCCTACGACTGCAGAACTTTGGAAATTTCAAATCTCACCAAGAAATTGCAACAAGGAAGAAAGAAATTGCAAAACAGTTGGATGCACGCAGCAGCACAGCTAGCAAGAGAAAGAGCCGTGGATGGGTTTGTTCCTGTTTTTGATGGCTGTGGCCATCCGTTGGCCCAACGGTTTCGTGTGAGTACGGTGTTTGTTTGTGCTGCCAGCTCGCGCCCGGCGTTTGTTTGTGATGGCAGCTCGGGCCCGGTGCGCGAGTGAAACCGAACCGTGACAAAGGCTTTTGCTCTTTAGTGCTATTGACTGGCTTTTCATACGATGCCTATTGATGCCTAGAGACATGGTGTCTAGCCTTCCCCTGGTACACATTCACGGGGCTTTGTTGAAGTTCGTGCCGTGAACTGCCAAAGGGTTTGAATGGTGCTGGGGCGAGTGCGACATTACGGCGTCCCTGCAGCCGGCCTAATCGCGTTTGTCGCCACAACCGATTTTATAATTATGCCCTTAAAAGATTACTAATTGAATCCGTGAGTCATTCGCCCTTTGTGGATAATTCTCTAAAAACAATGACAGATTCTACTTGAAAAGCATTGAAATTTTCAGAACAAATAATCTACGTGGAGATAATAATTTTAATATAGCTATGAATAGGATCCATGTTTTCCTCGTGCCAGGCCACGAGTTCCCAATTAACTGTGGGTCGCAGCACGGCTGGAAAAAATCCTTCCGCTTTCAAGGAGGACTTGAACCTGGTACCCTCTGTTTCTCAATCATGGTCTTAGACCATCTCACTATGCCTGCCTGCCATGGATGCAGTGAATGGGATTTTTGGTCTTTGACCACATGTTGGTGAACTGATCTACTCACCTCCCACCGCTTTAGGAGCTGCATCTGCGCCTTGATCCTTGAAGGGTGGTGGCGTTCCTACGGATGCGGAAAACTCGGCCTCTGTATAGAGAAACCGAGTCTGACGCGAACCGTGAATTTATTTTTATTTTTATGAATAGGATGAAGGCCGCTGACATCAGGCAACTACGTTAATTGTTTGACATGTATTTACTGTGTACTTTTATAACAAAAATATTATCACTTGTATCTTGTTATTTCTAACACCTTTCTATTTACAGTATTTAACTTCAGTTTCTTTGGTTGTATCCTTAGTTCCGTATTTTTCCCACTGATGATAGGAACAAGAAAATCGATTATGGGTTTTCAATAATATTTTTGTTATCAAATACACAGTAAATACATGTCAAACAAGTAACGTAGTTGCGTGATGTCTGCGGCCTTCATACTATTCATAGCTATATTAAAATTTTCAGAACCTTCAACCTTATAGCACTGTTAGGTACCTCCTCCCGTACCTTTTCTAGCTGGCCTGCATGCACTTACGTACTCACCTTTTGTCTCATTTTGTTCCGTTGGCCTGGGTAGCTACTTGCGCGCCCATATTTGCCATAGCTACCCAGGCCCTTTATCTTGCCGTTCAGACTTGATCTCTTCCTCTCTCTTTTCTCACTCTTCAATGTAGTCGTTTCGTTCGTCTTGGTCTCTTGTCTCGTCGTCTATAATAAATGTCGTTCCCCCAACCTACCTGTTCCCGTTGTAATGTGTGGATAATGTGTCGTCAGTCGTCCTGTTTCGAACTCAACATTGGCGCCCGATTATTGATCGACCCACGGCCCTGAGATCATCCCATGCCCAGTCGTCCTCAACCGCCATTCGTCTCGTCTATGTCAACCTCGTCTCGTCCATGTCAGTCTCGTCTCTCCTACGCCAACCTCGTCTCGTCTCTATCAACCTCGTCTCTCCTACGCCAACATCGTCTAGTCTCGTTCAAGCCATGCAGGTCAGCTACCTTTCTCTCTTTCCTTTTTTTGTATGCTTCTTCGTCAAATTTATTTTCGTGAATTTTTTTGTAGTGTGTGCGCGCGCGTGTGTTAGTAAAACATTACCAAGTTAGGGGTCCGATCATGGTGAGCCACGCTCTAATTTTTGGATGTTTAGCAAAAGTGTAACTAGGCTGTATTAGCCGTGCAAAATACTAGTAATTCATGTTCCTCGTCAAACTCCAATAGTTATTACACACTATAAGTAGTACAGGAATGATCTGTAGTGCATTTAGTACACACTTTCGTGAGATCCGTGCGCGCGTGCAGTATGTGTGTGTGTTTTTTTTCTCCTCCAGTCATTTTAAGAAAAATATTTCCTCTTTTTTTCTCTCCGCGAGGACGCGGGATTTTGTTTCATGGAGGGGTGGTATGTTAGGTACCTCCTCCCGTACCTTTTCTAGCTGGCCTGCATGCACTTATGTACTCACCTTTTATCTCCTTTTGTTCCGTTGGCCTGGGTAGCTACTTGCGCGCCCATATTTGCCATAGCTACCCAGGCCCTTTATCTTGCCGTTCAGATTTGATCTCTTCCTCTCTCTTTTCTCACTCTTCAATGTAGTCGTTTCGTTCGTCTTGGTCTCTTGTCTAGTCTATAATAAATGTCGTTCCCCCAACCTACCTGTTCCCGTTGTAATGTCTGGATAATGTGTCGTCAGTCGTCCTGTTTCGAACTCAACAGCACGCACTTCTGTTATTTCTGCTCCATTTCTTCATGTATCTAACAAAAAAGGGGGTTGCCAACATAACAAAATGTTAACTAAACGAACCATAAAAAAACTGGTTTTTTGTACCTTTTTCTAACGCCATGATCCAACAAAGACTATGAGTCCCTGGGGAAGTCCCCGTTTAGGCTGCAACCACACTAGGTACAAAATCACGTACAAACTGCATTACAGTAGAAATCGTCATGCCGACGCGTGCGAAATGCAAAATGCGCTTTGTAGGTTTTCAGCAACTGGCGCACCCCTGTAGAAAGCCACGTTTGTCGTTTTCGTCGTTTTCGCGCTCCATCTCCTGTGTACAACTTTGTTTTTGTACCTGGTCGTCGTACATAGCATCAGCATCAGCATTGTTTTTGAATTTCCAGGTCTTTTTCAGCGCATGGCACACGCTTTGGTACGACAACGTCACGTGCTGTTCGCGTGAAAACGTCATCTATGCAGACCGAAAAGTGTAGTGTGGTTGCGTACCGACTTGTACTGAGATATGCATGAAAATTTGTACTGTGATTTTTACGTAGTGTGGTTGCGGCCGTAGGTATACTGTTTAACGTCATATTCAGTTCTCACGCAATTTGTACAATTCAAGCCAGTATATTTTTCATGCTTGGGTGGTTAGTTATTTTTCTGCAGTGTCAAAGTAATTTTTCAAATTGCGTTTTCTTAGCTTTGCAACAAACCTCATGCTTGACAATAGAAGAAAAATGACGGAAACTATAATGTTACAGTGGTGTATGTGAAGTGTGCAACCTAACCCAGTTGCATATGAATCATGTTGTGGTTAGGAGTCTAGGTTATACCTGAAAACAGGGTCATGATTCGGCCTTATAGATTAGAACCACTACAGTCTAGACTCAGTGTTTTGTGCACTACCCGGAACTATGCAAGAACAACATTGTCTTTGTGCTTTGTCGTTTGTAGACATTTGCACGATAATCAGATTCAGAATTTAAGTGACGGTGTGTTCTCTGTTCTACCAAACCTCCGAACACTGTAAGTATTATCAACTGCAAAGCCTCCTTTTGACTGATTTAGTTCACTTGTGAAGCCTACGTACGATCAACTGCACCACTGAACGCAGAGAATAGTAATTATACCTGTGTGTTTAAAGAGTACTGCTGAATACGTGATGAACAAACCTATAATATCTGTGAGTATTATTATCTGCTGCACTGGATAGAAGGGAACAGTTGTAGACGCTTTGTGTAAAGCGCTTGTTGCATATCGTTTTTATTTGAAAGAAAGACTTTTCTTTTCGACTCTCTCGTACACACCACAAAAACAACAATAGAACTGCAGGGTCGCAGAAACAGCTGCTCCAATTCTTGCACCGCATGTGTATTAATATAACCATGCCACAGGCATAGACAAGCATTTAAAGGGGCACTCCGGCTTCATTTTCGACGCCGAGTTTTCGATGCCAAGACGAAGGTAGGTGAAAGAGAAGACCCCTCGAACAAGAACGAGTCTCCAGAAGCGATCGAGTCGAGTAGGAAGACGACTTTTTGAATTTCGCCGAGCGAGCGCTGATGACGTAATGAGGGATTAGCTTGCCAGTGGAAATGCATCTGCGCACATACATTTCGCATACTTTTTGGCCAATTTTCAATCGAAGAGGAGGTTGTTTTCTATGTTCTCTCAACGTCGTGAGCGATCCCGTCTTCTATATCCTTCCAGGTACCCTGAAGGTCCTCCAGAGGAGAATTTATCTCCAGCAAAGCGTTGTTGATCCGCTAAATTCGTCTTGAGACATATTCAGTGATTATTCACCCAGTGCAGTGCTGATAAATGTAGAATGTTGAATCTGTGATAATTGTCGACGATGGAGAGAGAGGTTGATAGCCGCTGTCGCAGGGAAAGTGAAGCTGCTGGAAGTAACAACGGGGAGTTTGTTAGCATCACATGAGCATCCAGACTTCAAAGCAGCTTGACGGAATCGGGGAGTACTGACTATTTGTCTCGCCCTCAGTTTAGTGAATTTTATGACCAGAAATTATTCGATCAGGATCCCTTCTACAAGATGTGTAGTGTAGTACAGGTGATTTCTGAACTTGACGATATGGAGACGGACCAGTAGACCTACCAACAACGTGTACCTGCAGGAAATTCACCCAAGGCTATTGCTATCCTCTTCAGTGTCTGTTGTTTTTTAGTAAAAATATGTTCACTTCTCTCAACATACTCCTGCATGGCAGAAAGAAGGTGCGCTATGGAATTCAATGCCACAATATTCGCCCAGCTGTGGATGAAGCATGGTCAAGTCATGGCGGTACACATACTTGAAACAGATGAGAAATTGAAGTTCATTTGTGATGGGAAGTTTGACAGCCCCAGTGACCGAGTCAAGCGTTGTCTTTTGCCGTGGCACAAATTGCTGAAGAATCCGAGATGGTCTTGGAATTATGCACATGGATACTACCAGAAATAATGGTGGCATGAACCATTGTGGAATGGGACAGTTCACGGAGAATACTTGAATAGCTCAAGTATCTCTAGGTGATTGTAAATCCTGTTCTGGCTGATAGCTTCGGCCTGCTGCGCCCGTCCATGTACAATGATGGTAACATGCATTTCTGTTTTCTACATATTTGCTGGCTACTGTACTACTGTACTGTGGTATTACAGTTGCAGGTCCCTTTATATAGAAATATGTTCAACCCCCCCCCCTCCCCCTCCCACATTATAAATATGAACTAACAATTTCACTGTTGGACTCGCCGGCGGTTACAACATATAGAGAGCAAAGGATTAATTTATAGCAAAGAAAAGGACCAGGGGACTACAAGTTCCGCTATAATGTCCACGAACAATTTAACTGTATTTGAAATAATTTTGTTTGATACCCTGAGAACTCTGAAACTTTGCAGCACTGTGGATTATATGTGGATACATTTATGGAAGGAAAAGTGGAATATTATAAGTTTAACACATTGTTCAAATAATTATAGCACTGTTGAGATTGTGAGCACATTCCAATCAGCACTCTACATATTTATAAGCGGTGGCAATCGTTAGGAATAGGTCATGAGTTGTCAGAGTGCTCTAGTATATGAGAGAATGTTTTGTTTGTCTAATCGACGGCTCGTTTGAAGCCAGAGTTGTTTGAACTTGTTTCAGTCGACTTGATTCTAGACCGTAGTCGAAGGAGTACTATGAAGTATACACCAGACGTAGTCCGAAAGGTATCTCGTGAGAATTCTGTCGGTACACATCAGGTATCAGCTTGCAGAGATGGCTCCTCTCTGTTTCTTGAAAGCCTGTATAGTTGGACTGTGGCTCCAGCGATTCCCTTCTCAGAGCAGATACCATACCCAATACGGTCAATGCATATTGGACAGACCTGTGTGCACAACAGAAATAAAATAAAAAATAATAATTCACAGAAATAGTGGAGAGAAATCTCTCAGCTCATGAACACATCAGTGAAGTTTGAACTGCCGTTGTTTGTGGCCATCAGTATTAACCTATCGACTATAAGAATCATGAGCAAGAAAAACCTCGACCGTAAAATCCCGCCAGAGCGCCCCGTCTCTCCCATCCGCCCCTCCCTGACTTCTTGTCAGGGACGTGATTGATTGTATCCTCGTATGACTCTGTCGCAGTCTGTGATGCCGTACTGCACTGTAGACGTGTGCTCGACCCCGTTGGAAATGTACGCAACAGTGCCCACCCTCCTGACCAGGGATCGCAAAAACCCTGCGTTTTTCGGATCTGTTCTACTCCTGGCTCTTGACCTTTGGTCGGTGTACGAGATGCACGAACAGTTTTCGTAGGGTGAGTACTTTTTCATGTGGCACTGAATGCGGCAAGTAGGACTCGCCCATCTGCCCCTCCCCACCTGAAGCGTTGAGGAGGTAGGGGCGCTCTGGCGGGATTTTACGGTATAACTAAGGCTGGGGCCATGGAATTATAAAGCATCTAACTTAGGGAACTGCCGATTCTGGTCTGAGTTGCGTTCGAGGCATGGAATTCATGATGGCTATCGTATGTTGCATTGACCAGAGATCATATAAAACTTCCAAAATGCCACATTGAAACACGCACCACTTTCGAGTACTTTGGTATCCCCCACCAAATGGGCATTCGTTCCCGGGGTGGCAGGCGTCACCATTCGTTATGCCTGGATCAGATTTCATTGACCCCAACTGTCATGAAGAATCATTTTTACTTTGACTGGATTTCAGTACAAGTTGTAGAACTGCAGAATCAATTTTGTTGTATTTGGGCAACCATTTCTCTACATTTCTCTATTTGGCAACTTATGATAGAATGTTTTTATAAAATACATGTCCAAATTCCACATCTACCCAAAACGGAATACTTGATCACGTATTCAGTACTAAACGGAATGTTTAGAAACCGCCAGGGAATAGGAATGTGCTAACGAGAACTCCAGGCCAGAGTACTAGCATACGAACAAAACAAGATAAAAACTCACCAGTATACTTGTAGTAATTCATGTCGGTGTAATATTCACGATAAGCAACGAGGCACCCTCCGATTTGGTCAAGCTGCTTTGAAGTCTGGTTGTTCAGATGATACAAACGGGCTCCCCATTGTTACTTCCAGCAGCTTCACTCTCCCTGCGACAGCGGCTATCAGCCTCTCTCTCTCCATCGTCGACAATTATCACAGATTCAACATTCTACATTCATCAGCACTGAATATGTCTCGAGACGAATTTAGCGGGACAACAACGCTTTGCTGGAGATAAATTCTCCTCTGGAGGACCTTCAGGGTACCTGGAAGGGTATAAAAGACGGGATCGCTCACGACGTTGGGAGAACATAGCAAACAATAAACCGATGTGACAACACCATCACACGTCCTTTCGACTAAGACATCCAAAAACGACAATTTTCTGGATTCTTCGTGTTCACATGTGAAGCGCAGCGCAGGATGGACATCATTCAGTTCAGTTAGAAAGGCTTCACTGTCACGTCTTGATTCGAAATAGGTAAATGAGTCGTCCACAAATCGAACGTACAACTGAGGCCACTTTACTTTATTCATTCTCGACTCGCAATATCCAACGAAGACATTGGCTAGTGCCGGACCCAGCGGCGACCCCATTGCCACCCGTCCGTTTGCGTGTACATCACACGTCACCGAACGAAAACTCGACACCACTCGTAACCATCAACATCAAACGTCGAAACGCTGACTCACGTAACCAAGGGACATCGACGTCATCATCATTATGGTAGAGTGTCTGCGCACAGATATCGATCGTCTCGTCTAGTGGAACGTTTGTAAACAGGCTTACAACGTCGAAAGAACACATATGGGCTGTTTTTGGAATCGGATTTTCACGAAGGATTTCCACAAACTGGAAAGTGTCCTTGACATTATGCTTACAATAGTAGTCTACTACCGGCTGTATCATGCCGCACAGCCAATTTGATATGGCGTACTGGGGCGAGCCTATCATGGAGAGTATGGGTCGGAGCGGGCAGGATGGTTTGTGTATCTTCGGCAAGCCGTACATCCTAGGGCGCACCGAACCGATTGGCTTCATTCGAAAAAACTCCGATTCTGATATGTCTTTCGCATGTCGGAGGTTCTTACGATATGTCACTAGTTCTTTCTCCCTAACCAATGTTCTATCATGTGTTGAGACCGAACCGAGTTTCACAAATTTCGACCCGTCCACTAGTATTGTAGCCATTTTAGTATTGTAGTCAACTCGTGTCATAATAACGGTTGCACGACCTTTATCCGGTCGGGTGATGATGATACTATTGTTCTTTTTTAGCTCTGCACGAGCTTTCATGTGTTTGCGGGAGAGAGAAAATGTCCGTCGTTCTGCGGCCTGCTCGGCATGTTCTTCCGCCGCAGCACGGAGTGTGGCTGCGCACACCATTTTCTTTGATTCAGAAACTGGTGCAAAATCACGCAGTTTGCGATAAAATAATTCAAAATCGCAAAGTACTTGCTCCTTCATGTTTGATGTTGGTGGTATGCCGAAATCTATGCCTCTAGATAGTAGCTCT